TCCTGCTTTCTTAAACCCTGCTTAGAATCACCCAGTTCAAGCACAAATCCTATAATAAATCTCTCTCACAACTGTGCTAATGTACATTTTCCTTTGCTGTAGCAAGCTAGGTAAAGTTAGCTTTTTGATTGCAGATGTGGCCCTGCTCTTCGGTTAGTGAGTTTTAACTTACTCTATTTTTAAGTTCTTGATGTTCTATTTGGTTCTTTTGTAATTTTGATTGTTCTGTCTTCAATTCTGGCTGCTTTTTGTTATTGCTTTTTTTTTGGTGGTAGTGGTTTTTTTTTGTATTATGTTTTTAATTTCTTCTTTTGTGGCTCTAGTTATTTTAAATATGCTTAATCTTATCAAATTCAATTATAGCCAACATTTGTCCTAACTAAAGTTCTAGGGATACTGTCCAGTTCTTTATTGTTTGCTAATTTTTGTTCAAGATGGATTATTTCTTTGTGTTTTGTAATTTTCCATTGTAATCCCATTTTCATTTTGAGACTGTTGCCAGAGTGAATTTTTGCTTGCTTCTGCCGGTGCACTAGGGATAGTACTATCCCAACACCAACTACTTTTTGTTAGTTACTTTTTTTTTGGTTGGATTTTACATAGAGTACAAATACCCTTTTTGAGTATGTTTGGTGACATTTGACAAATGTATACATTTGTGTAACCACCACAGTCAAGATATAGAAAAACTGCATTACCCCAAGAATTTCCATCCCATCCCAACTTTTAAGATATGTCATCTTGGGGATTTCTGATCCATGTAGCTAGTATAAATTATATTTGTGAAACTCCTGACTCTGTGAGGCTTAAATCTAGATGATAACTTTTCCAAAAAGACTTAAAAAACACACATCTCTGAATGCAGTTTAAGATAAACAAACAAGCTTCCTTTTTATTTTCCTGTTTGCCAGTTGGAAGACTTCCCCCTCTTAGTGCAGCCTTTCAGTATGTGTACATAGCTCTTTGATAGTCTGGCATTTTGTAAGTGTCTTAGTTACATCTTCCTGGCTTGTTTAAGCCCAAGGCCTCAAGTCCTATCCCTGAGGGGCTTAGAACTCAAATGTCATGGTTAATAAGGCCCACAGGGCTGCTGCCCCAGTTCCAGCTGGCAGGTCATTATTCTGGATTATAATGCCCATCCTGCCCCTTTTTGATTCATACATCTTATAAAGTATAACATACATACAGAAAAGTACACAGATCATAAATCTATACCTCTAAACCTTTTCAGAACTGACCCAGACAAAGAAAATGAACGTTACCAGAAATCTCCTCTTCTTTTCCAAACACGATCTCTGCTCAAGGAGAATCATTATTCTGACCTCTAACATTATGGATTAATTTTGCCTATTTTTGAACTTTATATAAATGCAGTCACACAGCTTATATCTGGCTTCCTTTGCTTATCATTATGTTTTCGAAGCTTACTCATGGTGCTTCGTGTTCGTTCATTCTCATTGCTGTATATTATTCCATTGCATGAATATAACAGAATTTATATAGTAGGTGGACATTTGGGTTGTTTCTAGTTTTCCTCTTTGCTTTAGGAGCCTGGGATTTCCCTGTATTTTCTTTCAAGCTCTGCTGTGTATTTAGTAGAATTTAAAAAGCATTTCCTGGTCAGCAATTCTGTATGATCTGTGTCAAGACAAGTTTTAGGTTTTGTAGGCTACTAAATTATACCAGACATGTAGGTCATATGTTTCAGTGTTTGTTGAAATTCTCACTGGATTCTCATCCAATTTACGTTAGCCTTTGATTTGCTTCTTTAGACTACATTTGTAGAAGTGGTTTTGATTCAGTGAACTAATGATGAGTAAACGCAAACAGGAAGATAGAGATGAGACATGTAATTAATCCCATAGGCATGATCCTTTGCCTGGATGGGATGCTGCAGATGCAAGGCTGGTTTGACATTCCTAGGTGTGAAATATTGAAAATACATGTTAAAGAAATGGGGTGGTTGCATACAAGCAATGGTAGGAAGTGTGGATGTGGTTGTTTGGGTTCAGGATCTCCTGGCTAGTTGACGATGGGACTAGGAAATGGAAGGGAGACATCCTTGATGGTTCAGTGGGATGTAATCTATGTGTTGCCAGAAGAGCCACCCCAAAGTGGCCTTGCTTTGCCTGCAAAAGTAATTGTTCAATTAGATCAGTGGTTCTCAACTGGGGGCAATTTTGTCCCTATTGGTAGTGTCTGGAGACCTTTTTGGTTGGCATGCTGTTGGTATTTGGTGAGTAGAGGCTAGGGATACTGGTAAACAGCCTGAAGGACAGGACAGACCCCCTGCACCCTCCACCCTTTAACAAAGAATTTTCCAGTCCCAAGTGTCAATAAAGCCAAGGATGAGAAACTCTATACTAGATCTAAGGACTGGACATAACCTCTTAATCAAAGGTATATTTAAGTAAACATTATCAACTATCTTTCAAGAAATGATAGCAGCACAGTGGCACATTCTTCTATGGTTCTATCCAAATTCTGACAGTCGATGGTATCTACCACATACCTGGCTCACTCCAATTCTTTTCAAAACCGTAATGGTGGGTCCTGCAACCACCAAATCCAGTCGGAATTTCAATAAAATTACTCGGATTTGACATTAATGTAAAAAGATATGTACAGCGATTTATTTAGAGCCATTAAAAATTAAACAACAAAATTTCCCTGTGATTCATAGCATTATTTTAATTTTACTATTGAAAGTTCCAAGGCTGTGGAGTACATCAGCTGCACAAATGGCATTAGACAAAGAAAAATGTTGATGTTGTGCCTTGAAATTAGACTCTAAGATATCCTTTTCCTTTGTGTTACACTTTTATAGCTGAAATTTGGGGCAAAGGTAAATGACATTGTTTTTCAAATGGCAGTGATTGTCTAAATGTGTCTCTTCTTCCTCCAGGCAGCACACACTACCATTTATTCTTCTGATTCACTTCCCCCAGAAAGCTGAGAAGGAGTTCTATAATGATATTATTGGGGTTTTTTTCAAACTAGTGTTTCCATTGTAATGCTATTACCGAACCAATGTTGTGATAAATGGTCTGTTTATAAGGGGACTCACTTTTACAAGAAGCAGAAAATTAAACACGCTTCGGCTTTGCAATAACAATAAAAACCACAGTGGGGAAAAAAAATATTCTCCAGTTTATTCCCATCTGTATCAGCAGGGAAGCTTGAGAAGATGGCTTTCCCCCTAAAGTCTCCTAAACACGATTACTGCCTAAAAGTACCACGTCAAAGTGCACTTTTCCTCCAAATCCCGTTCAAGACCTATACATTCGTAAGCTCACTATAAGGAGGGCCCTTTAAGAAAACCAGGCACTTTAAACCCCACCCCTCTGCTGACTTGAAGCAGTAAGTCCGCCTTTCTGAGGCACTTGGTTGGTGATAAAGCTAAGACACAGCCAGCTCTCCCTCTGCTCTGCCTGGAAGGAATGTTTCTGTTGCAATAAACTCCTAACGTGGAAGCTTTCACATGCTATGGGTTAGGGAACAATAGAAACTTGTGAAGTATGGAAGCCAGATCGGCCCTTAAGATTCGGTCATGGTGCTGAATAAAGTGGAAAGAATGCTTTTAAATCCGTTTCCTCCTGTGGTGCTACTCCCTGCTAGCTTTACTCTTCCATTTCACCCAGCAAGTGAGTCTTCCAGAAGCCCTTTGCAATTTAAGGAGCTGTACCAGATCCCCAAAAGGAAAAGTTGGGGAGAGAAGTTCCAGTGAAAATTAAACAGGATCACTTCTAACAGAGTTATTTACATTGGCTATACGTTTCTGAAGAGCAAAGTCAACGACCTCCCGCTCCACCACACCAGCAGGGACTAAGTTCAGAAGTCCTCTGGCACTAAAATAAAAATATGGGAGAAATTTGGGGTGTAACTGCGGTTGGCATTTCTGAGCTCTCTGCTAGAAGCAGCCATCTTGGTAAAAGATGATGTCATTTGGAAGAACTGGAGTTTTAGTTTTTTCAGAGGTAACAGTTTCCATGAGCCACTGAATAACAGCTTAATCATTAGATCAAATTTAGGTTTAAAGCTAAGGAAGGAGTGGGAATTAAAATAATTCCTTTCCACACCTCTTTATCCTTCTTAATATATTATTAACTTTTCCAAAAGTTCAAAGGAATAGAAAAGAAATTGACATTCTCCCCCTTTCCCCTCCACCACCATTTTCTGTTTCCATGTGTTTGTGCTTCCCTTGACTAAGCTTGGATAATAAAACTAGTCTGGTCAGTTTCACTTTCTAATTTTTATACATAAGTGAAAGCTGTTTAGTGTCAACAGTGGTAAAGTGTTTAGAATCATCTCACCTGCTGGGTCAATTTCCTACAAGTCTTTCTTTGAGAGGGGAGGGGAGGGGAGATAAAAGTTTTTATTTTAAATTTCCTACGCTTCAAAATTAGAATCCTGAATTAGACCACATTAGAGTAATTAATGTTTTATTTTTCACTTACAAAAGTTTTCTAGGAGTGGCAGGACTAGTGAGGAAAGGTGATGGTTATGGTTCTGTTACATTCCTACTTAATCGTCACCATTTGTATAGCAACAATGCTATGTCTGCAGCTGCTTTGGGAAATTGGCGCTTAAAGAGATGACTTTCAATCCACAAAAAGTGTTTATCATTTTTTTTTCTTTTTGGATTAGATGTTAGTGTCCTAATTCTACTGTGAGGCATGTCCTGGTACTGTTTGCAAGATGCGAAGGAAAAAAAAGGAAAAAAAAAGAAAAAGTTGCACCTCATTTAAACAATTGAGCGCAGCGTGGTTTGGGAGATCATTAGGAGGGGTCAAGGAGGTGGTGTGCCTTCTGCAAATCTTCCTTAACGAGGTTAACCTGTGGCTGGCGGTGTTGCGCCCCGCTCTCCTCCTTGCAGGGGAACTCACTCTTCTTTCAGCGCGACTCAACGCCTCCCCGCCAGGCTCCCTAAGATAAAACTGAAAGGGCTGCGTGGAGGTTTGAAACAGACAGAGGGAGACACGAGCACAGCCAGCCGGCGGAAGACGGGGCCGCGACGCGGCAGGGGCCGGCTGACCTCTCCACGTGTCCCCAGCACCTGCAAGGCTAGCGGGCATTGGCTTTCCTTTTCCCAGGCGCGGGCGCGAGCCCGGAAGAGGCTGGGCGGCCTTGGGCTTCAATCAGGGGGCTCGGAGGCCCGCCCTCGGAACACGTGCGGCCGGCGAGCAGCCGGTGCGGAGGTCGGCTTGGCTTCCTCGCCGCGCCCGCGCCCGCGCGTCCCTGCCCCGCCGGCGGACGCCTGGAGGCGGGCCGTGGCGGCGGCGGCGGGCCGGCCCCGAGCTCTCGGCTAGCTGTGGGGCGACCTCCCGAGCGCGCCGGGCGGGCGGCCGCGAGCCTCAGTGCAGTACTGCCCGAGCCCGGGCGGGGTCTCTGTTCTCTGGCGGAGGCGGTCCCTTGGCAGCGGGAAGCTCCCTCTCTTTCTCTCGCCGCCGCTCCGCGTCTGCGCCCTGGTGCCAGGCGCCCAGCTCGGCGCTCCCCTGCGCTCGCCCCGCGCCCACTCATTCGCAGCCCAGCCTTCGCCGCCGCCGCCGCCTCCCGCTCCTCCTACTTCCCCCAGCCGCCGCGGCCATGGCGGACAGCGCCAGCGAGAGCGACACGGACGGGGCGGGGGGCAACAGCGGCAGCTCGGCCGCCATGCAGTCGTCTTGCTCGTCGACCTCGGGCGGCGGCGGCGGCGGTGGCGGCGGCGGTGGCGGCGGTGGGAAGTCGGGGGGCATTGTCATCTCGCCGTTCCGCCTGGAGGAGCTCACCAACCGCCTGGCCTCGCTGCAGCAGGAGAACAAGGTGCTGAAGATCGAGCTGGAAACCTACAAACTCAAGTGCAAGGCGCTGCAGGAGGAGAACCGCGACCTGCGCAAAGCCAGCGTGACCATCGTGAGTGCCCCCCGGGGGCGCGCCGCAGCGCCAACCTCCGCCCGCCCCGGGAGAGGCAGTCCCAGGACCCGGGCAGCCCCCGGTTCTCCCCGAGGTTCCCGGGGTCCCGCAGCGAGCACACTCTCTCGGTCGAGACCTGCCGGCCTCCGGAGGGTGGGGGAGAGGGAGGTGTCCCTTCGGGGCCACGCGGGTCTGTCTTCCCCCAGGGGCCAGGTGCCGCTCGGGGTACGGGAGAAGGCTGCTGGGACAACCCACTCACGTTCCCTTTTCACCCCTGGGGCGGAGGCCCCTCCCGGGCAGAGCTGGAGGCTAGCGGCGTGGCTGGGGGGGCGGGGTGGGACTTTTTCAGGACTAGCGTGCCTGAGGGGTGCTTCCAGAATCTGGGGAGCCCTGCGCTAGGGAGGAGGGAGGAAGCTGGGGCCTGTGTCGGGGGCCTGGCTTGGGGTGCGGGGGTGCGCAGCTGGGCTGGGCACTTGGCTGGCATCTGGACGGCGCTGGCTGGATCGCCGGGGAGGGGGCGGGAGAGAGTGGCCGGGAATCCGGGAAGTGGAGTTTTCTGGCCAGGATCGAGAGGGAAGGGCGGGTACCGGAGCTGATGCTCCTACCTCCGCTGGAAGTCCTTTCCTTGGTGGGGAGGGTGAGGACGGGGGGCGGCAGAGGCGGTGTACAGCCGCGTGAATGCAGCATCTTACCCTGCACAGTGAAGGGTATGAAGCCTGGACAGGCTGAAACCAGCGTGATAGCGACTCCCTTGCTGAGCAAGATGCACATACGTGTGTTTGTTTCATTGGTGGTGAAGTGCCTGGGGGGTATTTTGCCGTTGAGTCCAGATACTTGACAGGAGAACAGGCTGTCCTTTTAACACCTGGTCCCCGGAGGCTCCCCCGAAGGAGAGGGGTTAAGATAAGGGATATAGATCTCCCTCATAGGCGTCTAAGAAAGTCCCCTATAGCTGTGATGAGACAAAACATAACTGGAAAAAGTACACCGAGGGCTCTCACCTAACATCCCTGTCTGCTAGCCGCATCATTAACATGCAGAATCCCCATACAGACAGCCCTATTGAGATCAAAACGGTTTCCCAGCCAGGAGCAGAGAAGGAAACGTTAAGAAATCAAGGGGGAAAATTGCCATCGCTGCTGCACAATAGCTGACTAGACCAAATCTTCAGACTGAGAAAGATACGGATTTGGAGATGGATCAAAGATCACACTGTGGGAATGAAGTGGGGGCAAGTGTAGATGCCCATGTGCCAGGAAAGTCCTCAGTGGAGGAATGAGTGTCTACGTGTGAGTGTGTGTGTGTGCTCCCCCAACTCTAGGTCATGCATAGGAACTGGAGGACGTTCTGAATTAGCCTAGAAAAGCAGGTTTCCACCAAACTTTCAGTGTGATTGGCAGCCTAGATAGAAATTGATTGTAGAAACACTTAGTATGGTCAAATCCAGTCCTCATGAATGGAATTGGAACTGTAAAATTCTTGAATTGCCCCTTTGGTAGGAAGGGGGAGAAATTTCCATAGGCAGCCACTTCCAAGCCTCCTCTGTAGCTTTCTTGGCCAAGAGAGATGTCTGCTGAGTGAGGGTTTGAGAAGAGGGCGAAGTTGGTGGAAGCAGTTTATTTAATGTTTGAGTTAGTAAATGAGAGGGTTAGTCTCTTGGAGAATGTGAACCACGGAAAGTAGTAAAACTTACATGAAACAGAATCTCTAGCCTCTTGCATACAGTGAGCAATTCAGGCTGTTTTTGTTAGTTTGGGAGGGAGAATGCGGGGTGGAGATGCTATGAAAGGGTTATCTGTTTGACACTTGACCATATTATAAGTAGGTCTGTAAGTTGTACACAAGCACATTGGTTTTGCAAGGACAAACATGTTCATTCCTGGTGTATAAAATCAGAGGCCCTCTGAACACTTGGCTTGAAGCGTGTGTGAGGTGGTGGCTTTATTTCTTAGCACTTACCTTCAACTAAAACTGACATCCAACCAAATGTACTTTGTGAAATGTTCTGTGGCCTTATGAGTAAAGTTTAAACATTATTTTAGATGACAGCTTACAAGTACTAGAAGCCTCTCAATTCTTCCTTAATCTCTGATGAATATATTTAGGGAGACAAATAAAAGTGCTTGTGGTTTACCTGGTTCTCGAGTACTTGGCAGGTGTTGCTAAGGCAAAATGCAGCGAAGAGGTTCCTTTAAGCTTTTGAAAGTTTTGTTAACTGAACTAGGGCCCAGAATGTGTGGCTACATGAAATGGGTCTGTGGATGTAAGGGGTCCCTGGTACCACACTGTGTTGTCTTTTCTGTCAAGGTTAAGCTGCACAACCCCTGACGACTCTAATTTAAACATAGACCCTGCTGGGAGCTGCCTGGGAAGTTTGTGACAAGACCCAAGATATTCAGTTAAGTGGAGGCCTTGCTAGATTTTTTCACTTAAAATAATTTTAGTTAATGTGAAGTGAAGATGAAACCATAATCCTATTACTTGCCTTCCTGGTTCTTTTTTTAAATATATATTTTATTGATATTTTACAGAGAGGAAGGGAGAGGGATAGAGAGTTAGAAACATTGATGAGAGAGAAACATGGAACAGCTGCCCCCTGCACACCCGCTACTGGGGATGTGCCCGCAACCAAGGTACATGCCCTTGACTGGAATCGAACCTGGGACCCTTCAGTCGGCAGGCCGATGCTCTATCTACTGAGCCAAACTGGTCAGGGCTGCCTTCCTGTTTCTTATTAGTTCCTCTAGTTACAATAGTAATTAGCATGTTCATGAGCACCAAGATGTGTATGGATGGTCTTTTCTTTTCCCTGCATCTGATCCGGAAAGTACATGGCTCATCAGCCTCACCCTGGAGAAGAGGGAGGCGCTTTCTTTTGTGTGTGTGTGTGTGTGTGTGTGTGTGTTTAATGGACTTTATTTATTAGAGGAGCTTTGGGTTCCCAGCAGAATTGATTGGAAGGTACAGAGATTTCCCCTGTACTCCCTGCCCTGCCTCCCCTCCCTCCCGCTATTTCCAACATCCCCCGCCAAAGTGGTACATTTGCTATAATCAGTGAACCAGCACTGACACATCGTAAGCACCCAAAGTCCGTAGTTTACCTTAGGGTTCACTCTTGGTGTTGTACATTCTGTGGGTTTGGCCAAATATATACTGACATGTATCCACTAGTATTATACTAGGCAGATACGGTGCCCTAAAAATCCTCCATGCCCTGCCCTTCCATCCTTCCCTCACCCCTGGCAACTGCTGCTCTTTATACTGTCCCCACAGTTTTGTCTTTCCAGAATGTCATAGAGTTAGAATCATAACAGTATTGCAGCCTCTTCAGAATGGCTTCTTTCATCTAGTAACAGACATTTAGGTTTCCTTCATGTCTTTTTATGGCTTGATGGCTCATTTCTTTTTTGCACAGAATAATATTCCATTATCTCAATGTGCTACAGTTTATTTACCCACTTACCTGCTGAAGGACTTTGCTGCTTTCAAATTTTGGCAATGGTGAATAAAGCTGCGATAAACACCAGCGTGTTGGTTTTTGTGTGGACAGGAATTTCAGCTCAGTTGGGTAAATAGCAAGGAGCACAGTTACTGGATTGTACGGAAGAGTGCTTTTAATTTTGTTAAAGTGCCAAACTGTCTTTCTGAAGTGGCTGTACTATTTTTGCATTTCCACCAGCAACGAAAGAGTTCTGTTGCTCCACATCCTTGACAGCATTTGAAATAGTCAGTGTTGTGCATTTTGAATATTGTAATAGATGTGTAGTGGTATCTCATTGTTGGGCCCTCATTTTTTTTTTTTAAGCCCATAGCCAATAGAAGCTTGTAACTAATGGTCATTTCTGTCTCTTTTGTATGTAAGTGCTTATTCTGCTCAATCTCCCCGTTTAGTAAAGGACTGGTTTCATGGGCATGTGTTCTCAGCATTTAGAGGTAAACATCATCTGTAGGGAAGAATCGGATGGATGAGGCCCTTCATGCGTGTCCAAAAGGGCATCTGGGAGTGAGAGCTTGCCCCTAGTGTTTTATCTGTGAATTAGAGGTGGAATGGAATGTTTTGAGTGATTCTCCTATTTCCCCTCGTAAATCAGGAGTGGAAACAGGCTGCTGATTATAGACCATAACTTTTTCTTTGGAGTGGAGAAAATAAACAAACAAACAAAAAATGCTCAGTCACCCTATTGAGTAGCTTGTAGATGTTAGGCTAGATCTATGTGGTTTGTACTGTGGGGGAAAATTGGAGGTTATCTAATTCAGTGTAGTGACGGGTGTCCAGGAGTGGTGGTCTGTGAGAAGGTGAGGAAATGCAATTCTGGGCAGTAATTGGATGGCTTCCAAGTTCTGGACTAGTTGCTGGTATTCTCAGAGTACACCCAGGGCCTCACACCTGGTATGGCTAGTCCTCTCAAGCAGCAGTTGCCAACCTTTTGGACCTCACGGAGCACCAGTGGTCCGCGGACCACCGATTGGCAACGGCTGCTCTAAAGAGTATGCTTTTCTAGACTGGTTCAGACCTTCAGCATGTGTTTGCTTTGAAAAGAAAAATCTATACTAATAAAAGGGTAATATGCTAATTAGACCGGGAGACGAGGCAGAGGCAGTTAGAGGCAATCAGACCAGGAGGGGAGGGCAGTTGTGGGTGATCAGGCCAGCAAAGGGGGGGGGGGGCAGTTGTGGGTGAGTAGGCTGGCGGGGGGGGGGGGCAGTGGGGGCAATCAGGCCGGCAGGGGGGGCAGTTGGGGGCGAGCAGGCCAGCAGGGGGGAGTTGGGGGTGAGCAGGCTGGCAGGGGGGGGCAGTTGGGGGTGAGCAGGCTGGTGGGGGGCAGTTGGGGGCAAGTAGGCAGGCAGGAGAATGGTTAGGAGCCAGCGGTCCTGGATTGCGAGAGGGATGTCTGACTGCCAGTTTAGGATCGGGCCTAAACCGACAGTCGGACATCCACTGAGGGGGTCCCAGATTGGAGAGGGTGCAGGCCGGGCTGAGGGACACTCCCTTTCCCCCC